TGCATATGCCTGAACGTAGGTGAGCACATCAACGCATTAACCATTCGCGAAAGACTCTCTTTATTAATATTTTAAAAAAGAATGGGTTGCCTTTGCTTTTACCCCTGTGTCTATGGTCTAATAGTTTGCCGGAAAAGTATATTATTTTATATTTTTATATTAATGTATGGAATACCCACTTCGCTATGGTGGAAGCCGTAACTTCTCTCTGGGTAATCAGGAAGATACTTGTATCCTTTGTTTGGGGTTCCCAATCACTTTCCTTTCACAAAATGTTGGATTTACTGCGGTCTGTTCATTCCTCCGGTTTCGACTTTCATAATAGTAATAGTACTAATAGACCCAAATGCCCTCTTCACAGTGCCCTTTTCATTCAGTTCATTTATAATTTGATTGAGTCAAGACTATCTACATTTTTCTTTATAGAAAGAGGTGGTTGTAAAAGCTACCATTCTGGCCCAATTTGATCAAATCCTGACAAAATAAACATACTTGTTCATCTGGGTCAAGACTTGGACGCGTCTGATCCGTAGAGTGATAACAGCCAATCACAAGGCAAGATAAGCCTGAGAGTCACGTGACAATGCGTGATCGGGATCAGATCATAATTTCTTTGCGCCCTAAATACGATAATGGACGATGTTGATATGGAGTGGCTGATAGAAAGCTATCGAAAAGCCCCATGTCTGTGGGATTCAAGAACCTCTCAACGCAGCAACCGGGATATGAGGCAGTCGGCACTTAAAGCCATTATTCGTTTTGAAGGAAATGGCTGTGCTTTGAATAATCACTTTTGTGTACAACAACAGCGCGCTCGGGTCAAAGTTTTCGATTTTTTAACTTCTGGGTCAAATTTACACAATAAAGGAGGAGCCTTTTCTGAAGCCACCATTAAACGACCCGACCAGACTCGACCCAATCCGACTCGAGCCTACATGATCCGATTTGAACTGACCCTGCCAATGGGCACCATGTGTTGATGGCGGTGTAGAATATTTACAAACACTACCAACTGCTCTAGTTCAGCCAACCCCATCGTATCTTCTCTCTTGGTAATCAGGAAGACAACGTTTATTCTTTGTTTGGGATTCCCAATCACTTTCCCTTGAGAAAATGTTGGATTTACTGCAGTCTGTTCATTGCTTCATAATAGACCATTATGCCCTCTGCACGGTGCCCTTTTCATTACGAACTGGTCAGTTATGTTGGAAGATCAATGTATAAGTTGGCTATAATAGTTCGAACAAGCTAAAAAAAAAAAAAAAACTATAATAAAAATATAACACACTCATTTGACCTTATGCAGTTGCGAGCGCCGTAAAACTCTTACTAAAACAAACTAATAAAAATATTGATACGACAATCACCCTACCTGACCTCCGGCTATGGATAAGATAGGATGGGATACGATGATACAAGATATACCATTTTCAATCCACGAAAGAGAGAGAGGGGGGGGC